GGGGGGGGTAATACAAATAAAAAAATGATGTTTAATATGACTTAAAATTATTAAGCAATTGAGTGCACCAGCACTTTCCCCTTAACAAGTAAAATTATCTCGTATTGGACTGAGTAGGATAACAAAGTAGGGCATAGTGTTCCTTAGTTAATCACTTATAATAAAGGTTTAAATGCTGAATTTTTTGAAAGTGCCAAAGTGGCAACTGGCAGGGTACTGAAAAGGTAGGTTGTGCACATGCATCCTAAATATAAATACTGCTACAAAAACCTGGTAGTTAACAGTTAAAAGTTAAGACCAATCTGAATCACGAATTTCATTATTTCAAAGTAATATAAAACAAAAAAAGTCGGGAAACTAGGATTTTGAACCCAAGATATGAGACAAAATTACAGTATGAGAATGAGTTTGAATATAAAGAACAACAAAAAAAGGATACAAAACTACTGTGATATTGTTGAAATTAGCAATATTATACATTTGCTGTTTATAACGGTCGTTTTTGACATAATGTATTTATGCTTTTCCATCGAAATTGCAAGTTAAATTTGCCCGAAGCAGCCCAAGCTTTCGCAAGCTCGAGGGCAAGCTAGAACTTAAAAAAAGTAAAAGAAATAAAACTTTTGTGAATCTTACCTGAAAACAAGAAATATAATAATCCTTTCGAGTGAATTGTTTCATCTACAAGCAAACAAAAACTTAAAACTAACACACTTTTTTCTCGACTGCAAAAATATCAAAATGTTCAGTCGAAACTCGAAAATTATGATAAAAATTTGTGCAAAAACCAGGGGGGTGAAGGGTTTTATTTCAAGCTCAGGATCGCGGTTGGTCAGTGGTAATTGCCATGAGCCGGAGGAACCAATTGGCACCAAGTGTTGTTATACGTTATATTTAGGTTTTTCCACTTTTTCTAAGCCTTTGCGACGTTCCAAAAAGCATTACTTCCGTTTTGCCCTTCTTCAGGTTCAAGACGAGTTCGTTATGATAACAATAATCTCTAATCAGATTCATATCTTCGTTTAAAGCATCCTCAATATTTTGCGCATCTTTATCAGCATATAGAATTACCGTATCATCAGCATAATTAATGATTTCAGAATTCTTGACTGATTCTTTGGGGTCATTGAACATTAAAGGACCAAAGATAGATCCTTGCGGCACTCCAGTGGTAATAGTGTTTGGTCTGGAGCAGTTGTTTTGCATTTCAACAAACTGAGTTCTATTGAATAGGTAATCTGTAAACCAAGCAAGTTCAGGACCTTCAACACCATACGCAGGTAACTTGTCCAAGAGAATACCATGACCGATAGTGTCGAACGCTTTGGACAGGTCCAAATATACACATCCAATGAGTTTTCCGTTGTCCATTTCTTTTCGTATTTTATCGCAAAACAATGTGGCGGCCAGCTTTGTAGATCTGTTTCTACGAAAACCAAATTGGCAATCGTTCAACAGTTTGTTATTCTCCAAGAAGTTGTAAAATTGACGGTGGACTGCCTTTTCCAGAATCTTGGAAAATATCGGAAGTATCGATATTGGTCGAAAGTTCCCTACTAGGTCTGAGTCACCAGATTTGAATATAGGCTTCACTCTGGCTGATTTCCACAAAGCTGGCACCGTACTTGATTTGATTGATAAATGTATTATATGTGCCAGGGGTTTTGCAATCACAGTTGCACAGTCCTTTATCAAGTTTGGAGGTCGTCGATACCAGTAGCTTTACTTCGCTTCAATGATCGGAGTTCTTTCTCAACAAAGATTGTAGAAACGAATGAAAACTTGAAAATTTCGTTCGTACGTAAAGCTTGTGTATTGTTGTTATGACGCCAAGCAAATTCACCAAAGGAAAAGCTTTTGATTTTAATTCTCGAGCAACATTAGCAAAATAATGGCCAAATTGTTGCACCTTGGTATGCATGGTATCATGATTTGAAGTTGAGTTAGCTGATAAAAATGAACTACTTGTTTTCGATATTACAGAAAAACTACTTAAGCGACGTGTCTCTTAGAGTAATGTTAGCAATGGGAAGTGGTCGTCATCTGTACAAATTTGAACCTGCTAAACATCTTAAATCGCAAAATATAGTGTGAAAACACTTTACTGTCCAAAAATTGGACAACATACTGTATAACCCAGATTAAACTTTAGTATGCATGGACGTATGGTCAATATCCGTAATTTTTTAGCTGCATTTTTACTACAATTATAGTTGGTGTTTCTTCCCTAACTAATAAAATTAAGATGTAGTCACAAGAGTGACATTTTAACTCATTGGTTGTGTTCTGCATATTAAGCCGTTTGCTGTGACCTCGAAAAGTGCCTAGAAAACGATTTTCATTTCCCATGTCTTGGAACTGAAATATTTTTATGGGATCTAACACTTTCGAACACGCTGAGTTCAAATCCGAAAAGTTCCCGCTCTATAGACCTACAGTTTTCTAACAAACTGCAATTTTATCTTCACTAATTTCACGACAAATTTTTTTCATTGTTCAACGACATGGATCGATGACGACAAACGATTATGTCACTCAAAAGGACCAATTTCTATTAACCAGTCTTCCTTTTAACAAACGACCGTTTTGCTCGAATCATTTTGAGTTATGTAATATTATGCGTGTTGGACGTAAACAACATATCTTGTCTACAACTTTGGGAAGGTACAGATAAAGCTTTCTGAAATCCTCAGTTCTGGCTGTATCTCTATAAAATTACAAGGACGTTAATGCTAAGTCTTTTGGCTATGTCTCTGGGCTGAGAAATAATTCCTTACATGCATGCGATCAAAATGTTTTATACAACGACGTAAAACGGTAATGTTATGTAATGGGTCTATCAGTTGGTGTTATTCTGTGCGATTAGCGAGTATTATTGGAAAGAGAGCTTTCATATACGTTGAAATCACCAAATAAACAGCTCATGCATACATTTCTCCACTTCGTCGTAAGTTTAGAGAGAAGATTTTATACTTTGGCACTGATCTTTGTCTTTGATGTGAACATTTATTCTTCTAGTTTAAGATTATTTAAGAGTGATCCTGTTGAAAGTCTTTTACCAGCAACCCATTGACAATATTTCATTTTAGTGTTGTCTTTCATGCCGTTCCGTTGGCTTCGCGTTACTTTTGTTTTAAATACCTTGATCGCGTTAAAAGATTTATTTCTCAGCCCAGAGACATAGCCAAAAGACTTAACATTAACGTCCTTGTGATTTTATAGAGATAGAGCCAGAACTGAGGATTCTAGGAAGCTTTATCTGTACCTTCCCAAAGTTGCAGACAAGATATGTCGTTTACGTTCAACACGCATAATATTACATAACTCACAATGATTCGAGCAAAACCGGTCTTTTGTTAAAAGGAAGACTGGTTAATAGAAATTTGTCCCTTTGAGTGACATAATCGCTTGTCATCATCGATCCGTGTCGTTGAACAATGAAAAACGTTGTCGTGAAATTAGTGAAGATAAAATTGCAGTTTGTGAGAAAACTGCAGGTCTACGGAGCGGGAACTTTTCGGATTTGAACTCAGCGTGTTCGAAAGTGTTAGTTCCCGTCAAAATATTTCAGTTCCAAGACGTTCCGGGACGCAGCAAACGACCTATATATATATAGAGGATATTACACGGCGGCGCGAAGATATGACTTGACCATTCTCTTTTCTACTTACCGCAACGATAACCAAATTCAATTTTTGCTTGTCTTATCCTTGTTAATATTTCTAACGATCTACATAGACCTTGTAAATGTCTTACATCTAATGACGTCACATCTAAATCCCTGGGAACCACTACACCACAATTCCATGTTGATGGTAATGGCCGCATTGGGTGACAATAGTCATCATCATCTTCCCAACCATCAAAATACATGCACCTATATATAAATCAAAATAAGAAAACTATTACCAGTGTTCGTACATGCAAGTCAGGAAGAGTAAAATTCAAGGACTTTTTTTACCATGTATCAGGAAATTCAAGGACTAAAGGGTTGAAAAGAAGCCGTTAGAAAAAAAGGGAAAAGTGACGTTAAACTGTTTAAATAATGTAGGACATAAATAAAATCAATCCAACAACATTTCCGTTTTTTCATGTCAAACAATTTCGGAAAATATCCAAATCTAAATTTCAAGCGCTTCTTCATAAATTCATGCACTTTCAAGACCTTTGAAGACCACTTTCAGATCCTGTATTATACTTCAACTTCTTCTTACCAACAGCTCTCTATTTCTAATACGCGTGTATATTTAATACAGACATCTCTATTACGAATAACAGATACTAATTCTTGTAGTTATTACGCGGAGTTCGGTGATCAGGAGATGACAGCTTGTGTTTGTGTTCTACGATTCAACTCATGTAATGTATAAGAGTACTTTTATAATGAACACTTAAAAGTTAAAATGTGGAGATAAGTGATTTAAAATGGTTTCTGGTTTTGTTGTTGGTGTAAGATTGATGACAAACTGGCATCTTCACAGGAACATTCTTCCCGTTCACATCATTGAACGTACCTCTGTTAATTTCCTCTGTCAAACACAATTTGTATATTCTCACTATACGTTTCCAAACTTGAATCTACCTTTGACGTCAATAGAATGAGCACTTTGAAGACTTATCGTTCCAAGTGTCGTTCGGACAACCCAACTTGTTGCTTAATATTTGTTCAAATATATTCAAACCCTGGAACAAGTTCAGCGTCGCAGCACGCAGTTTATTTTATCTCTTCCATTTCAAACAGATATTTCATACCCTAAAAGACTTGCTAAGCTCAACATTCTTCTAATTACCTACTGGCATGAATACCTGGATCTTGTTTATCTATTCAAATGATACCTGGATCTTGTTTATCTATTCAAATGTATTTATGAAAATTCCGACAAAAATGTGAAACTAGATTCACCAAATCGTGTAACCAGACGCTCTAGTTCTACATCAGGACTCCTTCTTCAGATTACTAAATCAAAAACAGTAACCTGTCAAAACAGTTTTTATATCAGAGCATGCAGAACGTGGAACACTCTACCAATATCTTTAAGAAACTTAACTTTATTGTCTTCGTTTAAACGTTGTCTATTTAATTACTATTTTTTATTAACTTCTAATGTTTATAACCCAGAATTGCCGCACACATACAAGACTGTTTGTGTCAAATGTCACAAAGCCCGTCCTTTGGATTCACTCACTGACACTTTGTGCTGCTACAGTGCCCTTTCTTTATATTATGTGATGACTTTTTTGTTGTTTTTTGTTGTGATGCACTATTTAGTGTTTAACTCTTTGTATACAATATTTCTAGTAATATATGAACAACGAGAGCGAGTGTTTCACCGGAATATCCAAACACGAGAAAACAATGTATATGACATACATTGTTTTCGAGTGTTTGGATATCCTGGTGAGAGAGGAGCTCGAGTTGTTTATATGGCTTCTCAAATGAATCGAGACGTAACAGAATGTTTTCGTTTGCTGATTTGAATAGAATTCTTAACCAAGCATAACGTAATTAGGAATTCTATTCAAGTAATTTTGCATGCGTAATTAAGATATTTGATGAAAACACTAGTGACTTTCATCAAGTTTCACCGGGTTATCCAAATGGTATCTTGTGATCAAATAGGTGATTATCATTGGCTGAATTGCTCATGAATTATTAATGAATTTGAGAATGTATTTTACAACTCACGCGGGGAACCCGTTATTGGAGCTTCGGCTCTGTGGGTGCGCCCTTCGTGTGTTTTGGGTAAATTAAATTAAATAAATAAATAAATAGTAGTGTGTAAATGTGTGTTTGTGTCTTCAAATATATGTTATAACTATAATTGTAAATTGTCTTTCTTGGGTTGTTCTAGGCTAGGGTTGGTCTTAATATTGGATTATTGTCCTGTTGCCTATATACCTTAACCTTATTTGTCCTTCATCTACAGGTATATGACAATTGTATATTCTTAAATTTAATATCTATTTATTCATGAATAAAAGGTTGTCAATTTGATAAATAAATATTAAGTAAACATATTACATAAGGCCCGTTTACACTTGCAATTTTTGCTGCGATTTCTAGTGCGATTTTCTTCTTCTAATGCATGTGAATGAGTTAGATAGAAACTTTATTTATACACGCTGACCCCGTCAACCGAAGCTGATTTCCACGGGGGGCGTGTGCAAAAATAGAAAAATAGAAAAATGTTACATGGAGATATTAAAATACTTAAGTTTAAAAAGGTAGAATATTAAATTATTTACATGATAAGAAGGTTATTAGAATATTTACAGTTACATCAATTTACTCTATGTCAATTTTGTGAGCAGCAATTTTATTTCTAAAGGATGAAAGAGTTTTGCTTTCCCTAATTTCCTTTGGAATAGAATTCCAAAGGTGTGCTCCGTCATACATGAAACTATTTTTCATGTTGTTAGTACGCGGTTTTGGTAAACTAAGACCACTTGAAATGTCACGAAGGTTGTAGTTTGTTTTCTCACATTTGTATGAAAAAAGATTGGTGAGTGATTTAGGACCCATTTTATTTAATACTTTGTACATCATTTTTGCCTTAGCTTTCTTCCTTTCAGTTTTGAGTGGCTCCCAGCCCAATGCACGTAGAGCAATGGAATGATTTACGTCATTACTCATGTTCAAGATAATTCTAGCAGCTCTATTTTGAAGTTTTTGGAGTAAATGAGTTGTGAATGTTCTGAGCCGGTATAGCAGTTGAGTGGAGTATATGTGTCACTGATGTACCCTCATCTGAACATTCACAACTCATACACTCGTTCACATCCATCAGAAGAAGAAAATCGCACCTAAAATCGCAGCAGAAATTGCAAGTATAAACGGGCCTTTAGTTGGAAATTACGATTGCATGGTAGGTAAGGAGAAATCTGACTGATGAATCATTATTCATCAGTCAAGTCAGATTTTTATTATTCATCAGTCAGATTTTTTTATGGCAGAACCAAATTCAGTCTTTGCTACCGGGTGGCGCAAAAAAAAGTTAACCTGTTTGATTTATTTTAACTTAAAAACTAAAAGAGCTATTACACCTAAACTACGTGCATTGCATTTAGTATTGTCTGACTTAAATTTTGATATACGCCCCGTGCAATTTCGTGCAATATTGACCGAGAGAGCTGCGTTTAAACTTGAATAAACATTTT